GGCGCGCGCCGGGCAGCGGCCCCCGCCGGGGGCTCCTGCTCGCCCCCTGCGTCAGCAGCATCAAGACCATCTCCCGCGCCAAGATCCGCACCGTCAAGATGACCTTCGTCATCGTCTCGGCGTACGTCGTGTGCTGGGCGCCCTTCTTCACCATCCAGATGTGGTCCGTCTGGGACCAGCACTTCCCCTGGGTCGGTAGGTGCCGGGTCGCTTTGGGCTGGGGAAGGGAGAGAGGGAGGGCAAAATCCTCCATGTCACTCTGTCGGGCACCATGGAGTATTCGGGGTTTGGTTCCTGCACCCAAAGGAGCGTCCTTGGACAGACATGGGCAGCCCCAGCAGCTGCACGTATGTCCCAAGTGACTATGTGAGCAGTGGCATTTGCAACATCTGCTGCCCTGTAAATGTCTTGCATGTGGGTTCTCTGCTGTCCAATAATGTGGCTGAGCGGAGCCTGAAGCCTTCCACTCAGAGGACACTCACCTCTGAGTATCTCACCCTTCACCAGCCAGCACTTCCCACCAAACACTGGCTATCAAATATCTTTGAGCTACCTGTCCCTCTGCCAAATCGGGCTGAAAATAAACAGATTAAAAGTTATTGCATGGGGAATGACAGGTGGTATCCTAACGTACACCTTGTTTCCTTATAATGAAAAAGATGCAAAACAAATGGAAGTCACAATTTCTCGTTGTTTATTTTTTAAATATCCCTGGGTTATCATTTGCTGGAGTGAGAGCATCAGTTGCCCATAACACTGAAGGGGCTAATGCCAAAGGGACTTAAGGGACTAAATTCAAGCCTAGAATGCAGGCATGGGAAGAGAAATAAAGGCTCACTGTAGATAAGTAAAGTGTCTTTTATTTCAGAAGTGTTAAAAGAAGTCTAAACGTCTTGGGAAAGATGAGCATTTTGTAAGTTTGAAGACATTGTTTAAATCTTACGGAACTGCAGAACACAGCAGCTATATCTCTGTGGATAATCATTGCTTCTGATAGGTCATTTATAGTATTTAATAGTTTAACTAATTGGTGAATGTACAAGACCACAGCTGTTCAGTGACAGAATACTAATTTCCATTTCTGCTTTTTTGTTCAACCTCTGCAATATGGATTTGATTAAAAAGATAGCAATTTGAGCAGTCTTCAGCATTTTTTCAATACAAAAATGCATGCAGCAAGGTTCTCTTCTTGCTGAAACCAGTGGGCTTTTTGCCATTGCCTCCCAATGTAAACATTTTTAAAACAGAAGCCTGAATAAAAACCGTTTGGTACATGGATAAACGTAAGTGGAAAAGTTATTTGGTGCCTTCATGATGAACTGAGCCGTCCCATAACTTCCTCTGCCTTGGGTTTTTAAAGTCTGTTCAGACAAAATCCTGTTAATTTCGGTGGCAGCTTCACGTGAATGACGACTTTTCTGGCTATGCCCATACTATTCATTTTTAAGAGTCACTGCTCAATTCTATAGCTTAAAAATAGAATTATTCGGTAACTGAAAAATTGACTGAATACTGAGAATCTTCTTTTGAGGGTTAAACTGCTTTTTTCCCCCCACCTACAGATTCTGAAAATACTGCCACTACAGTCACTGCTCTACTGGCCAGTCTGAATAGTTGCTGTAACCCCTGGATCTACATGTTCTTTAGCGGGCATCTCCTGCAAGACTGCATACAGAGCTTCCCTTGCTGTCAAAAAATAAAGCAAACGTTGAATAAAGATGATTCTAACAGCAACAGTAGACGACAGACTTCTTTCACCAACAACAGAAGCCCAACCCATAGCTTGAACACCTGGGGAGAACTGCCGCAGTCCAAGTCTACCAGCTTCATCCCCATCCCAACCTGAGACAAGCACCAGAGGATGCAGCTCTTAGACTCCACTTAGGAAGATGATGGTGAAGCACTTTAAAAGTTGGTTAGAGGCACAATCCCTTGGTAACAAGGAATAACTAAGACAGCCATAAAACAAAATATACTCTGTTGCTAAATAAGGTATTATGCAGTGTGTACACTTGAAAGACATATGAGACTTGGGCAACTGATCAGGAAGGAGTGACAACAATAAAACAAATATTTTTCTAAATAGAGTATATTATTCGTTTTGTTTTATGTTTATAAAATAATGAACGCATTGTGTGCTTGTTGTTCAAAGCAGGAAAAAGTGTGGAGTCAGCATAGTTTGAGGTAGCTCCACTATCTAGTGGGAATTCGTAAAATTTCTCATGATTGACCACTGAAGTCACAGGGAAAGAAGATGATGCAGAGAAGATCACAAACTGATCTTGAAGGAGAAAAACTGGGAGAAATTCCAGTCTGAGCAGACAAGGTACATGGTTGGGTAGGCTGAGCTCTTAGGAATTTAATTGATCATATTGCTTTATCTGTCCAAAGAACATTTAATTGTGAACAATTCTTATTTGATGGCAGAGTTTAATAGCTCTTATGAAGACAGATCCATCACTGCTGTTAATATCCATGTATGTTATGGGCTTGATTTCCCAGGCTGACAGCCCTTCTTCCCATCATGTTGATCGAGTTTTACAGCGCTTCTTGTGTATTGCTATACCTACTTTGAAGGTATTAATTAATTTTTAAAAATATGTTGACAAAATAGCATGGTAAGCAATGTTACAGCATTAGCCCAGCACTGTTACAAACAAACACATAATCAAAATTCCTCATGACTGTCAGAAGTGATTACTTCATTGGTAGAAATTGTATTTTTTCTTTTTTTTTCTTCACTAAGCTAGGACTAAGCTCCACTTGGTCTTAAATACTGTCCCCATAAGTTCAGGAGAATGTTGTTGTACGGTAACAGCTGCAGAATCAGTAAGACAGATTTGGAATCAGTCCCAAGACAAATTCCCCAGACAAATTTGGGGATCAGTTTAACCAATTTTCCAGTAACTTGTAAGAATTGACAATATTAGTTATTTATTTTTAACAGATTATGACAGCGTGGACTTCAAAAGAGGTGGCAGCTGCAGTAAAAAGCCATCACACCCCAGCTGGTAGCCAGAGCATGCAGTGTGTGCTTGTTTTCACTGCCATGCATGCAGAGTCAAATGCTGATCTTACACTCTGAAATAATCCTGCATTTCCGTGGAGACTGGATTTTTTTCCTCAAGATTGTATCTGGAAGCCCCTCAAATGAATTCTGGTGTGTTTTTAATGTCCCAAGGATCTCTTTTGAAAGGATTGCCTTGAGTGCAGTGAAAGCCGAGTGAGGCCTCGTGCAGCTTGGTGCGTGCCGGCGTATGCGCTGTCCCTCTGCTCTGCCTCCGGGTTCCACTTCCATGAGCTCTCCGGGTGCTGAAGAGCTCTCCTTGTGCTCCTGGTACAAGCGGGACTCGGGCACCGTTCCGGCGTGCTCTCCGGGACAGAGGGGGAAGTGTGCATGGATGCATGACTTGCAGGCTTGTGTTGGCCCCAGCAGCACCTTGCACAGAGTCATGGCATGGTCGAGGTTGGAAGGGACCTATAGAGATCAAGCAGTCCAGCCCCCTGCTTTCCTTTCTTTAACTTTTTTTTCCTTCTTCAAAACCAGACTGACAAGATTACTTTTCTAATTATTTGAGGGAAAAAGCCAAAAAGAGTGTCTGTTACTGAACCTTTCACTGAGGATGAAGCTGGCCCCCTAATTCTCTCAAAAAATGTAGTAGAAATTAATAGAGCTAGATGTCAGAGAAGTCCGTGCCCCATCTCCAGTCTGAAGCTTCCAGTCCAGCTTTCTTGACTATTTTGGGCGAAGGGAAGAATTAGCTCAAAAAAAAGTTTAACTCTATTGTCACTAAAGAAAATTCTAAGTCTTTTCCCTACATTTCTTTTCAATGTTTTCCACTCTTCAGCCATCTATTCTACATTTTTGTTGTCAAAATAGCAGAACCCAGAGGAGAGCCTATCTGTAATGGACTATCTCTCTGATCACCTTTGTAAACAGAAGCAGGACTACGGTTCTCCCCAGGTCTGGGAGAGGGTATGTGAACCTGAAGTACCAAAAATGCATGCAGTGGTGTTGGGAGTGTGTGTATTTGTGCACATTATATATACTGTGTATATTTAGCAAGTATTTCACAGTTACTTAAATTGCAAATGTTTCAAGTGCACTATTCTTTGCCTAGTTTTATTTTTGTGTTGCTACTTGCTTTGTACATACAATATGTATTAAAAAAAAAGACTTCTACTAAAAATTTTTGATGCTTCGCTAAATTGATTTATTTTTCTATTGCAGTTTTTATTCAAACAAGGAGGACAGAATGCAAATACAGAATAATGTTAGTTAGAAATCTAGGTTGGATAATGTCCAAAATACAAAAAAAAATTAAATTAAATTACATTAAAATCAAAATTTTCAGTTTCTTCTAAGTATGTTGCAAAACCAAGCCTTACATTTGTGAATTGTCAGTGTAAATGTTCTCTGTACATGTTCTGCAGGTTTTGTAATTAATTTGATAAAACTATTTATCAGTATTTGGATTCCAGATGTTTTTGTAAATAATTAAGTTTTGCTTTTTTCACCTAATTGTAGCCTTGGAAGGCAAGTCCCATATTTTCCAAGTTGCTCCTCTCTACAAAAGCATTTTTAACCATTGCTTTGAGTTAACATGAAGGCATGCTAATGAAACAGAAAGAAAGAAATTGTAAAATACTTGCACATTTAAAACATGGTAACTTGCTCTAATAAACCTATATCTTTGTTTGATGAGAAGTATTTTTTTTCCAACTATATTTTGCAGAGCCTGAAACATATTTGGTGGCATTTCATATAATCTACAAGAGGTGATATTTCAGCTTTAATTTTGAGGAGCTATTTGCACAAAAGTCTTTAAGGAATGAACAATCTAATTGTGCTGGTGATGATAGAATTGCAGCATTCTAAAGATAAGTAAATGGCAAAAGTAGAATATATATGATTATGTAGAAGAGAAATTTATTTTTTAAATAGGAAACAAAATGTCTAAAAAAAAGCTTCTTTTGATTGATTTTTTTTTAATTTGTAGATAATCTATTGGCTCAGGGGAAAAAAATACTGTTTTACCACATCAAGACCAAAGTGTACAAGAAGATACAATTTCCTGTGGGCCTGATCCTGTAAAGACCAAGATTTTGTCAGCAGCAAATGTGGGCAGCTCCTCCTTGCCCAGGTTTAAGGACTTGGTTGAAGGGCTCTCATCCTCCTTGTGGGTTGGCACGCATGGAAGTGGAGGCAAAAGGAAGAGCACACCTGGGTCTCACCCTGGGACACGTGCCAGGCACCCAGCTTTGGAAGTGAACCCAGCTCTCACTGCAGTGCTACATCTCCCATATGGAGATATCTCCTGCAAGGGAAGCTCTTACAGAGCAGTCCTAGCCTAAAGTTCCTCATCTACAGAAAGCACTAGCTATATACATTGTCCTTTTCTTAAAAGCAACTGCTTGAGTTTCAGTCGTTCTTCCTTTTGTACTGGATTTTGGAAGACTGGAGAGACAGAAAAGAAGTAGTGTACTTAAATACCAATTTGGCACTTTAATTATTGCTACAAGACTGTTTAGCGCTTTACTGGAAAATGCAGTGCTTGCTACCTGTGTGGAGGAGTTCCAGTGTCTATATAAACAAGTATTTATATGTGAGTATTTCATGGCCCAGAGATAGACCACAGCTACCCACAAGGAACAGCCCCAGCTGGTTCAGATGTTCCACGCTATAGGAGCTGGTCCAGCTGATCTTGAAAAAGGCATCTAGCTACCAAGGGTAATGTCAGTCACGAGCTCTGTAAGGTTTGTGCAAGTGTATAAAAAGCAAGCAAACGGCCATAATGCCTAGTCCCTGCTGAACCTTGTTGGTGTCAACCAGCATGGGTCTGCCTCTCCCAGGGCCAGTCCTGCAATAAGCATCCACCAGTAATTAATACCGTATCACTGTTTTGGTGCAACTGCTCAGTAATTTGCCATGTGTTAGTATAAACTTGCTTGGAGTAACAATTTACATGCTAATTAGCCGTAGGTCTTAATAAGAACATTTTTAGCTGAATTCCTGACACAGTCCATTGGGTTACCCCTTTCTAAAAAGCAAGGCTTGGGGGAGGCAGTGGGATTCCAACCTCTGCTCCCAACTGCAAGGTGGGGAGGCTGGCAAAATACCAAGATGTAAGATATAGGTGGAATTTCTTCTAATCAGAGAAAAGACAAAACAGTGCCCATTTCCAAATGCTTTCTTTTTATTATTATTTCTTCTTGGACATTGCACTTCTTGCATGCTTTGCAAGGGAAGGTTGGTTCTTAGGAAGTCTGTCAGGGTCTGTGAAAGGTCGTCCGCAGGTTTTCTTCTGCTTACTCAGACATTTTCTGTTTACTGATGAACTAAAAGAGCGCTGGACTCACTTCCATTTCTTCATGCCACTAAATCATTCCCAAGAACATTTGTGAACAACTGTGATTCACTATGAGCCTATGATAAGTGCTAACACTATTAGCAATTGCATAATTAAGATATAATGTGCTGATTGCAGGAATAAGGGCTACCATTTCATGATTGCCATGGGTTGAACTGATTGAGCTTCTAGCCTGCAAAGTGCTGTTGAAATCATAGTCCACCTTCCATGGCAGTATTTCATATGTTGAAGAGTATAGCATTTTATTGTGGTAGGCTAATGAGACGTGCTCAACCTGATTAATGAGGTTTACTTCTACCACTAATTAAATAACATAGTTTTGACCTAACTGAATCCCACTGGGATCCCACTTTGGCTTATTCTGACATGTTTCTCCTGTGTTGTCTCATCTGACATAGGAATCATTTCAAGCTCTAAGATTTTTTTTCTTTTTGCCTACTGCTGAATGATAGCAGAGATTTATACTGCTTTAGGCTTGGCTTTTGCTCTTAGCACTGGCATAATATTATCTGTTATTTGTACAGTGGTGAGCAAAAGACAGTAAGCCATGGCCCTTGAACCAAGGAGTTCTCAATCTAACTCAGAAAGGAAATAACAGCCAAGAAGCAGGCTGGGAAATGCAACTCCTGCATGGCTTGAGTGTCCTGGACAAAGGCATAACTTTGTCACAGGAGCCACTCTGCTGTTGCACTTCCCCTTTGTGTTTGTTCTTCTCTTTCCTTTCTAAGCAGCCTGCAAGACACGGGCAGGGCGTGATGATTGCTCTGCATTAACTCTTGACAGGTCGCCCTTTCGGAGGTTGAGGCACTGGAAGGTTTGAATGGTACCACCACAGTGGCCACGCATCCACTTCTCATCAAGTTAATTCACTGGTGCCCCAGTTACCACCTGTAACTCAGGATAATGATGTTCATCTTCCCCTGAAAACTCTTACATAATATTCTTATTTAAACACCCGCAGGAAAGCAGACTGCAGGTGGCCCATCATTTTTTATACCTTTCAAGCAAAATGTGACAGAATTGGCATTAGAAGCTACTTGGTTCTCCAGGGCATGAAGATCATCCTAATCCTTTCTGGAAGATAAAGCAACTGCTCCTGCCCCTGTAACTGCTCCTGACAGAGCCTTTCCTGATCCCAGCATTACTGGCAGCAGCTAAAACGGCAACACTGACCATAGGAGTTGCAGCAGAGAGGAGTTGCCTATAATACACACTTTCATTGGAAACTGCTTTTCGATGAAGGGGGAAGCTGTACAATAAAAAAGTACAGTGAATATTGAGAAAGGGGTGAACCAGAGAGTCAAAGAGCAAATAAAACATTTTATCACAAACATTATTTGAAAACTTCATAGTGTTTTCTATTTTACAATTAGGAGATATTTTTTGTATGTTTAGAAAAGAAGCTCCTTGCCTCCTGGAGGTGTGACTACATGGAGGTCCTTTTCAGTCCAGTAAGTATCTCCACTGTTGTGACTCCTACAAGCCTATGTCCTAAGAAAGGACATAGATCCCTTCAAGCTGAACTTCCAGCATATGATTTGCAAGGTTCTAGTCCCTAAAGTAGAGGCCACAGTTTGGAGTTAAATGTTTGATTTTTATATTTCCTCCTGGGTCTATATATATGGTCCTTATCCTTCTGTCTTCTTCTTCTGATCCCATGAGCCTTCATCCCTCCTACATGCTGAAATGGAGGCAGCTCTTCCAGATGCTCTCTTGGAAAGTATGAAGACAATAGAGACCTGAACTGTCTTCAAGCAAGTAAAAACAAG